TATTTTTAAAGGCCAACGCACAGAAATTGGTGTTTTGAAATCCATCTCATAGACTAACAAAAAAGACTGCCTTCCACCGGCTCTCCCGACTCAAGCCTACTCACGAACAAGTCACTACTAAAATTGGGCTCTTTGAATATGCATAAGCCTCTAAAAGCCTCCTCAGGCCGGACTTTCACCACTCCCTCTCACCTTTCCGTCTTTCTGTTTGTGTTTCTTTCTATGCCCCTTCATTTGATCTCCTCCAATTTCCTCAGTTCCTTCCTTTGGGAAAGTCCTCACCAAGGTACGTAGAGAGGCATGTTGGCCGGAAGCAAACGTTTAGATTTAGAACTATCTGCAGCTGGAGCGGCCGGAACCTCTGCCGCCGCCACCAAGGACACCTCTCCCGGCTTCACGCGCACCAAGGACTCTGTAAAGCAGGGTTTGTCTCTGCTCTCCCGGCCATTTGTATTCTTCATTTAAAAATCTACATCCCTATCCTTCCCGTCCAATCCTTTCTTTACTTCTTCATAATTTCGAGCTTCAAACTAAAAACCAGTGTACACTTTCGCTGCCCGCCTGTGGAACCTGACGCCCAGACCAACCAAGGCCCCGTTTGTGCGCCTGACCACCAACTTTTGGATTTTCGGGTCCCAGGCCCACGATGGGGCGGGGGGATATGGAGGGTGTCAAGGACAGAGATTTCCGTACCTGTGTGCGTCCTTTTGTGGATCTTTAAGTTCTCGGAACGCGCGAAGACCTTGCCGCACCCAGGAAAGGGGCAGGGGAAGGGCTTCTCGCCCGTATGCACGCGGATGTGGTTGACCAGTTTGTATTTGGCTTTGAAGGGCTTGCCCTCGCGCGGACACTCCTCCCAGAAGCAGATGTGATTACTCTGCTCAGGTCCGCCGACGTGCTCCACGGTGACGTGCGTTACCAGCTCGTGCATGGTGCTGAAAGTTTTGTTGCACGACTTTTTTGGGTTAGCCAGCTGCTCCGGCTCGATCCACTTGCAGATAAGCTCCTGCTTGATGGGTTGGCGCATGTAGCGGAAAAAGGCTCCGGCGCCGTGATGCGCGGCCATGTTCACGTTCATGGGCCCGTAGCCGTGCAACTGCGGCGCGGCATAGTGCTCTGAACGCGGGCTGGTTACCTGGCCATACTGCTCGGGCCGCGGGTACATGTCCCCCGAGAAGCCAAGCCTCATCTGCCCGTTGACCACGTTGGGTGACGCGTGGCCCGCCGCCTGCTCGTGAAGGCCTGGGAAGAGGAGGTGGCCCGCGGCGTCCGTGTGGCCGTGTGGGCCCCCGAAGCCCCCAGCAGAAGCAGCGAACAAGCTGTGCTGCGCGCTGGCTGCCGCCGCCGCGTCGCCGAAGCCCCGGTTGCGGAACAGAAAGTCCCGCGTAGAGTTGAAGGCAGCGCTCGAGTAGGAGCCGACGTGGCCAGGGTGGTGGTGATGGCCAAGGGCAGCGGCAGCCGCGTAACCAGGTGCCTGCGACGTGAAGGCCGTCTGGCCCGCGGAGGCTAGCTCATGCGAGCTGGGGTTGAGCTTGAAGGCGCCCATGCCGTCGGCAAACGGGTTGATACCCAGGCCCACGTCGCGCTCGGACACGTCGCCTGCCGAGTGGTGGCGGGACGCGCCAAAGGTGGTCACGCCGATCGCGGGATACTGGGGGCCGGCATCCAGGAGCATCGTGGCTGCGCGGGGCAAGCCCCGGCTTCCCCTGCCCCCCCCACCCTCGCCCGCCGAGGAGGGAAAACCAGGAGGAGGAGGAGGAGGAGGAGGTATGGGAGGCGGAAGGAGAGGAGGAAGAAAAAGAGGAGGGAGGAGGAGTCGACCCACCTCGCGAAGTCCTAGCCCGCAGGCTGAGGCGCCGGGCGCCGGGGAGCCTGCTTGGCCAAGCGCGCGGAAGCCGGACGGCTGCGGGCCTCGAGCAAGGCGGGCTCCGGCGCCGGCGGAGCAAACCCCACCGCCCGGCTCGCACTTTCTCACCGCTCAGTCTCTGCAGAGAGGACCTTGTGTCAAGGCTGCCCAGGAAAAGGCATGGAGCATCTCAGCCCCCCCAAAAAACTTCCTGCCGCATTTGTAGCATAGAGGAATGTGAGCACCGGAGCTGCGACTGCTCGCTCGCTCTCCGCCTCGCGCCGTTCGCCCCTCCTCACTTCGCCCCTAGACCCTCGCCCTTTCTTTTCTCTCTCTCTCTTTTCTCTCAGGCTCGCCTCCTCGCTCCTTCACTCTCCTTTTTTCCCCCTCTGCTTTTTGCAAAAAAAAAAAAAAAATATATATATATATATAATGATGATGATGATGATGATGATGATGAAAAGGGGGGGGGGTAAGAAAAAGAAAGAAAGAAAAAGCCAAAGAAAAGGCGCAAATCATGCACAATATTGTCTTTTGCGGTTTATCTTCCTGGGGAGAAACTTTCACCTCCTCAGCCGGGCGGTGAGCGCGAGACTGATAGCAGCAATCATTCCTGCAGATAAATGAATTGAAAGGAAGACACCGTCCCCCCCCTTGATGAATGGGAGCAGGGGGGAGGTGTCACGTGCTGCTGACGCGGGAGCCCATTGGTGCGTTCACACTCCCCCCGCCCGCGGCCGCCGCGCCAACGGAGGGCGAGCCGAGGCGCCGCGCTCCGTTCATTGGCCCGCCCGCCTCATCAATCCCAGGTATTGTAAAGCGCTTGACATCCCCTTTTGACAAACCCGGCTGCCAGGAGTAGCAACTTTTTTTAACCAAATTTTTTCCCTCTTCTCATGGAAAAAAAAAAAAAAAATGCCACGATTCCTTTTTCTTTCCGCAGTCATAAATATTTTCTCTTTCCTTATCCTTTTCCCTCTCCCACTCTGTCTCTATCATCTAGCTTATCTCTCTCTTCCTCTCTTTTTCTATCTTGTCTTTCTTCAGACCTGCTCTTAGCTGAGCGATTAGCGACTTCGGGAGTCTCCGGGACCAGGAGGCGGGGATGGGACTGGTAAACACAGCTAAGGCACTTCCAGAATGTCCCGATTCAGCAACTTTTCTTTTCTTTCTTTCCCCGTCTTCCCCCCTCCCCCTTTCAATGGCAGCAAAGAAGGCTTTTGTTATTTGCTCCTTTTGAAGTTTGCTTCCCTCTTGCCTCTTCGCCCTCCTGTTTATAATTTAAGATCTCGGGAGCACACGGACACTCACTATCTTTTTACAAGAAATGTGATTTCTCAGGATAACCAGTTGCCTCGATTTTCTTATTTTTATCAAATCATCAGGTTTTCTGGATCCTCCCCTCCTCCAAATAAGCACAGGTGGATGAGAGCTCTTAACTTTCCTGGTCATTGAAGTTTGGGTTTTTTTTAAGTGGCAGATTGGAAATATTGTTGCCTATTTTTCGTGTTTCATCTCCTGTGTTATTCTTCTCTTTTCTCCCTTTTCCCCTAGTCTCCTTCGTCTGCTCCCCTAACCCCCGCCTTCTGAACTCCTGTTCCCAACCAGGGCCCCTTCATTCAGGTAAAACTGTAAATTTCCCAACGTGCCATTGTTTTTCGGGACTGTCCAAAGCTCCCTAGAAATCCTCGAATACTTTTTTGGTATTTAAATCCTCGGTAGATAGAACCAATGTAAATTTTGTGACATTCAAACCTTTTCTAGTTCACAAATCAGTCACCCTTGTCACAGTTATTGAAATTCCGCAACTCGCCACACCAGGACGGTGGAAAAAGCGGGCGCGGTCTTTGTTGCCGACCAGGCTTTTGATCGCCAGAGAAAATTTACTTACCTTCAGATGAGTGAGCAGAAAAAGAAATAACACTCCCTTTGATTTAGTTAGGAAAATGCAGACATTTGGATTCAGTGCAAACATACAACACTCGCTTGTTTTCGTGATGCGGCCCTCGATTAACCTGTCTTTGCCCAGCGCAAAGTCTATTCAACAACTGTGCGTAGTTGCTTTTTGTCCCATCCACAAAGAGCCATTGACCATATATTAAAATGATTGTTGAAAGGTAGAGGAGTATGGCACTTAAAAGCAGGAAAAAAATCCCTGTGACTCAATCAATTAAGGCGAATAACATTTATGCATTTCAAAAATGCACAAGGATGGGGTGGCGGGATTGGGGGAAGAAGGTTGCATTTCTCCGCAGCTCTGTTTAAAACCCTGCAGTCTGGGCTCAAGCGTCTGCATATTCATTAGGTCTAATTATTTTCTAGTAAGGAAAACACAAAAAGCCAAGAGTCGGAATCCTTCAATTTGCCCTTTGTTTCTAACTTCATTTGGCTTATTTGCAGCTGAATCAGAGCCCTAAACTCTTTTCTCAGACAAAGAAACCTCAGCTCATCCTTTCAGGAGCGCCCCGTTAGGAAACTCACCAGCGCCCGGGAGGGAGGAAAATGAAAATGAATATGTTTTGCCCAGTTTCCCGCCTTAGCTGCAAGGCAGGGGAGGCAGGAGCGGTGTTGGCCGCTCCTCGTTTTCCTGGTTCTCTAATCTTTTCATCGGCTAGATTCTCACTTGGGGTTGGTGAGCTGAGCTCCCCTTTCCCTTGGGCTATCCCTGCTCAAAACTCCACTTGTATATTTGGGATGGTTTCTCAGTGTCTGAAGAAACCTGACCGAGTATTTGCACTTGTGCTGGAAAATAAAATTTTGAGAAAAAATATATTTTATCCCCAACAACAGGTCTGAATGCAGGAGCCCAGCATTCCCCACCAATTTAGAGATTGAGAATCGCAAAGGTTGGGAATGGAAGGAAAAGGTTGGCACTTGAGCAGTGGTTTAACAACAACAACAACAGCAGCAGCAATAAATAACTATACACTTTGAGTGGCTCAATATATCTTTTTTGAACAAAGTGTTTTCTGCTGCCTGCAAAGGGAGGCTGTTTCCTCCCTCCAGTGCAGTTGTAAAAACCTTATCTGCAAGAAGTTTTCTCTAGAGGCTGCACTGCCCTCACTAAAGAGAACAAATATTGAACCCACCTCGCCTGTCTTTCAAAAAAACGAGGGAGGGGACATGAGGGGGAAGGGTAACCATTGGGAGGGGGAGAGGGAAAATAATTGCTCAAAAAAGAAAAGTCAGTCTTCTCCTCTCCAGTCCGTGGAAAATCCAAGGGGGACGTTGACAAGAGGGTATTTTTAGGAAACGCATCCAAATACACAGGATAAGAGTGAATGTGGTGGTGGTGGAGGGGGGGAAAGTTGTGGATTGTAGAAGTTATCAAGTGGGATTTGCGGCGCTCTCTGCAGGAAACGCGAACGGCTCCAGTTCAAAGCCACATGCACCAACGTGACATATAAGCCATTAAAATATCATCCTGACGGCTCATTTCTGCTTCATCATACATTCCCTAACTGCTTCCTGAAAACTGGAAAAGGAGAAATGAAGGATGACCGCCTCGCTGGAACCACAAAAGAGAGGCTTAGAGGGGTTTGTGGTCCCCCCTAAGCCACCCCAAAGTGATATGCAGAAATGAGGCGATCTCAGCAACAGGTGGAGAGGGGTAAGTGCGTGAGTCCAGGGGGCAGACCGAAGGGACCTGTACTCCCAGCAGTTTGGTAGCAAGCGATCTTATGGGGGGGGGCGCGGGGGGGAGAAGGGTTATTGGCACCCAAACCCCGCTGGGGAAAGAGGCCCAACTAGACTTTCTCCCCCAATCCCCTCCTTCTTTAGCCCCCCAATCGTGGGTATAAGCCCCACCCCACTGACATTGAGGCGGGGAGGGGGCCTTTCCGCCGAAGGGGCAGCGCTGGAGGAGTCCATTCCTTCTTCCCAGGAAAGACGGCGGGAGGAGGAGGGGGGACAAGGGGAATGAATGGAGTTCCCAGTGGCACGGGGACCAAAAGCAGCAGGTTGCCTGCCCGCCCTACCTACCTCCCCACCTAGTAAATTTCCTGGTTGTCCCATCGTGGGCACAAGAAGGGGAGTCGTGGCCCTGAGCTTCCCTCGGGCGGAAAGAGCCGGCCCGCGCCAGGACCGGGTCCCTCCAGGCAGCTTCTTTGCTCTGCCCCCACGAGTATGGCAGGGAGGGACTCGGCTTCTCCTCCCCAGGGTCAAAGGACCCAAGTTAGCCTAGGCGGCAGCAAGTTGATGGAACTCCTCCCAAACCTGACGGCAGATGCTGGCTGAGTCAGGCTCGGGGCTAGGTTCCTCGCCCTCGCACATCCTGGTCCTGCCTCAGGACGCAGACCGCTGGGATCTGCTCTCTGCTCGCCGCCCGCCGTGGGTTTCGGACTTGGCTTTCCTTCTCTCGAGTGCGATCGAGGGCTACAATTAGCTCTCTGGGGAGCAGGCCGTAGCCACCCAGCATTCTGGGCACTACCCTAGACACTTAGGGACCCTGGAAATTAGGAACAAGAGAGGCGGGAACAGAGTCAAGCTGTGAAAGAAAGCTAGGACTGCCTCAAAGGCTTGACTGGAAAGTTTGGAGTTGATGAATGGTCCGTGGGACAGCTGGGAGCCAGCAAGGTCTTAGGAATTGAGAGGGAGTGTTGGAAGGCTGCACTTTGGCTGCCACCATCTTCGGAAAACCCCCTTTGGGCTTCCAAGGTCATATGTCTCCCTGCTTTCCGACACCATTGGCCGCACAGCCACCCACGAGGAGGCACCACCTTTTCTTCCTCTATCTAGACGATGGCAGATTGAGGGGGATGTTTCAAAGGGACGGTTAAATATCTATGCTGATCCTTCAGGCGACTCACTAATGCAGACTCTACTCTGGGCATATGGAGGCCGGAACTAGGGAAACTCAGGCTCTTTCCTCTAGGGAAGAGAAGACTGAGAAAAGGCCGTCGCACAACCTAGCCTCGCAGCGCAACTTCCTGGTATTTGAGAGCCCGATGGAGGGGAACCAGGGAGGTGCCCTGTGGGGATAAGTGGGGAGCCTTTTTGGCTTTGATTTGAGAGCTCTCAGACAATCCGCAGGGCCCCTGTTCTGCACCCTCGCTGAACTGTGGCGGAGAGGCAAGCATGCCTTTGCCTAGAGCCTGCGGATTAACCAGTGTGGAGCCGCGTTGAAGGCTTAGGGACTAGAGCTGTTAGCTTGGGAAGCAGGCTGCAGGTGACCTCTGACCTTAAGCAGGCCTGCACAGACTGGGGTGAACCCACAACGTGCAATCGGGATGTTCCCCCAAAGAAAAATGGTGCCTTTTGCATGTACCCACCAGCGTACCTTCTTGGCTCTCCCTCAGCATGATCAATTACTAGGACTGGCTGGCACCCTTTCTTCTTCTCCAGATGTGGGAATGCAGGCAAACTCCAATAATTCTCCAGATTGTGCTCCTGACTGGTGATTCACTGGCAGAGCTGGTATAAGGAGACAAGTCAGAAGCAATCATTTGAGGAAAATCAAGCTATGCATTTTCAGGACTTTTAAATCCTTGGATTGGTGAGGATCTCAGGTCCAGGGACAAAGGGATTGTTCCTTGGTTCTTTTACCCCTCCTTCAGTGAGATGACTAGTTTACTAAGCGTGGTCAGAATCTGAACCAAAGAAGAAGATATTTACCCTGTTTCTCTGTACTGGCTGGTGATGGAGCTGCTACAGAGAGCAGTTTAAGTTTCCCGTAGCATGCCTGAAGTCCAGCCTCTGCAACACTTGTTTGCATGTTCATGAGTGTGTAATTCACAAAAGACTGTCAGGACATGGGGGTGGAAGTGACCCAGGCCTCTTAAAGGGAGGGCTGGAGCAGTACTGTAGGTGGACAGAGTTCTTCTGGGAAATTTGTACTCATTTTCCTCTGAAGCAAAAAAGTAAATTCTATTAGTTCTGACCAACCAGGACTTTTCTGTGCCAGACATTCTGCCATGAGGAAATTTTAACAAGGGAAGCCCAGCATGCTACCCTGCTGTATGAATGCAAAGTTGGACCTCCTTTATATCCATATTCAGATTTGTGCAGGAAGAATTTTATTACTCTTGGGGATGGATGCATTTTGGTTAGAAATAATTGAAAATAAATAAAGCCCTCTGAGAAAAGATGAGTCTACTCCACCCATACACCCCTTAGGCTTAAACCTACAAAAGAAGGTGGAGGGAAGAGTAAAAACACCTAAGCTAGTTTAAGCCCAGGATGGGGTTTGAGGGAGAGAGAAAGAGATCTTTGAACATACAGAACTAGAAAGCTTTTGAGATAGCAGAGCCCCACTTGGATTTGCCCTGTGGTTCAACAAGTTAAACAACTGCTGTTATGTGGGTTGGAGTGTCAAGACAGGAAGACTTCCTCATTGACAGAGGGCTTACTGTGTTTGTCCAGCCTGAGACCTTTTCAATGAATGTTTGTCTTTCTAGGCCAAATTGAGGGCTGGGGCTGGGCAGATCGCCCCTGTTTGGCTGCTCCACTGCCTTTAGCCTCGCCTGACAGTTGCAAAGGTCCCCAGGGTGGGTTTCCGGCTTTGAGATGACCAAAGGCTTGGCAGCTCTATCCACAAAGTGAATCTGATAAGGAATGCAAATTTGGGGGGGCAGGGAGGGTAGGGCAAATTGTTTCAGACCTTCTAAAATAAGAAATGTGACAGCCAGGACCAGATGATATAAATGATATCTTTTTTATCCTCCAAAGTCTTGTGAATTTTATATTGACTTTGAAAAATCAACTAGTGATGGCTTTCAAATAGGTCTGAGGGGAGGAAGCCATGTGAGGGATTCCACACCACCAGAGCAGAACAGGATCTACAAATCTGCAAATAAAATCCCTTTCTCTCAGTTCCAACAGTTATAACTCCTTTTTAACCTGCTAACAACCCAGAGGACTTCCAGCCCTCCATTATATTTCACTAAACTCAATTAATAATAAAGAAAATAGTGGAGGTTTCTCTTACAATAAATTCAAATTCTAGAAGTTAGTGGTGTTTGAACTCTGACTGACTAAAAGAGTGCTTAATTCTACCTGCAAGGGAGATCAACAAATAAGTTTCAGATAAAAATCTATTTGAGAAATGATGATTTTAATATTTTTTATCATCAAGCATATATTGTTTTGTGATAAATATAGGTAGTTCCAAGCAGAGTTCTTCTTTCACTTCTAAATTCGAAAGAAAGACTGAAAGACTCTTCAGACCAATGCCTTCTTTTGCTCATACATTCAGGCCACACAACCTTGTCATACAAATATGTACGAATTATTTAACTAGTGACTGTCCCTTTTTTATTCCCTAACAGATTCAAAGTCAGAAAATGAGATACAAGACTTCCTTGGTGATGAGGAAACGTTTACGGCTTTATCGAAATGTCCTAAAAGAGTCAAGTAAGTTAAAATATTCTTTTGAATGTTGGTTTGCTGAAGTTTTTTCGTTTTAGTTTTTTTAATAGGAAGTTATGTTTTCTCTTTTGCTTATGTTAGGCTGTGACTTTGGGGGTGTTTCTTGAGTTCAAATGAAACTTAGAAAAACACCTTGGTGTCTGATGCATTTGCACACAAATCAGCAACACAAGGTCCTACCAGCAGCCGATTAATCCCTGTCAGTGCCTACTCATCTGGACATTCTAGAATTAATATTTGACGACTCTCTCATTGAAACAACCACCCTTGACCTTCTGCAGTTCCACTGTCACATTATTCTATGACATATTCATCTTGAATTCATTTCCAGATGATTTGATTGGAATGAGGTTTGACATATATTGGCTTTCATAAAAGGAGCAGACTTTGATCTTGGTGATGGGGTTTACATGATATGCATCATCTTTACCAGAGACACCAGCCTTCTGCAATGTGGTGGCGACGACATTCCCACAATGTGGTGTCTGAACGGGGAGTGACTGACAGCTGCTCAGTCAGGAATACCTTCATTGTGAAGAATTTAATTTAATATTCCATTTTGAATAAGCATATGATTTAGGGCAGGGTGTTTCCCCTTCCAGGCGTCTAGTTTTCCTCATTTCTACTATACCACCAGCTGATGGTTGCCTCCAAGGTGTTTCTGTGTTGGTAGAAAAAACAACCTTCTTAACAAAAGTTAAATGACCACTCAGGAAATAGCTCTCTTCTATTATTTTGGGATGCTTTGGTGGCAGAATTCTCAAGAGAGGTGTGGTTATTGTGTAAATTCAGTTGTTTTTTTTCTTCAGTGCTGTTCTAAAAGATCCTTTAGCCATGTTTTTTAATCTTTTGTTGAAAAATGTTTTGCAGAACCATTGCTTGAAAATTAAATTCTATCCAAGTATATTTTCTTTCATACTCAGTTCCATTAATGACGATAAAAGTACAAACTTGCATAGCAGAGGAGAGAAATATTCTTTGTACAATTTGTGCTTGGACATAGGAAAGGCTTCTGGGGCTTAACTTATTTAATTTTTTTTCCCCATAAGAATAAAGATAACATTTCACTTCTAGAATCCTGAAGCCTCTCTGTGAAAAGCCTATGAAGAGATTTGGCCTTAGTCTGGGGTGGCAACCTGGTCAGAAACAAGTAAAATATTGAACAGGTGGCTGCTGATCTAGATGCAGAAGAGCCAAGCAATGAAGCTAGTGCTTGGCCAGGCTCTGTGCAGTAGCCCTCAACTCCTAGGATCTTGCTTTGGGCATAACCTGTAATGGATAATCATTACTTAGCATTATTTAAAAGATCAAAACGGGCAAAATAGCCCAGTTGTGGATCTTAAATTTTCTTCAATATTTACCTTTCCAAGGGAGAGAGGTCAGACATTCCACCATTTAAGCTAGTGATGTGAGGAGCTCTGCTAATGATAGGATCACGAAATGTCATATTTCTATACAGACAGGTTAGAAAATCAGTTTAGTTTATGCTGTTGAATTGACCTGACTGGGGCCAACAAGGGTGCTTAGGGCATAATTCTGGGCACTGGAGGGATGTTTAGAGTCTATTGGTAAAACCTGCTCTAAACAGGCCTCCATGGCTTCTTCACCTCTGTTGAAGATCTCTAGGCTGCAGAATGTGTCTTTTTTTCCCCCTGCAAATCAAGCAGGAAAGTGAACTCAACAATGCTATCTATATACCACAGAATGGTTAGGAATGAAATGTTCCAGCTAAGCACTTGGTACGGTGGGTAAATGTGGTAAAATAAATTTCTGAAAGAAAATTCTGACCACCACTGAGGGGACACTACTCCTCAACCTGTCCAATCAATAATCAATGAAACTTAAACTTCCTGCTACCTGGGCACTGGAAGACTCAAAGGAATCACTCTGAAATCTAAAATATGCCTCTCTGACATTGGTACCACCCCCCACCCCCGCCCGTCCTCTGCGGTTAGCTGGATATTGCTTTGGTGCTTATTTCAGAGATATGCCTTGAAGACCCTTATGTAATTGTCCAAAGTTTTCTGTCTATCAATTTTAGTGGGTGAAATGGATTTTCTTCTCTCTACCCCTCTCTCTGAGGAAATGTCCCTGTGGGAGAATGCCTGGTCTTCTAACTATGTTTAGCCAACCAAGGTGTGAACCATGTGGCTCCAAGGAACTTGCGAGGCTCAGGCAACCTTAGGATGGGTCCAGATATTTTCAGTTCTTCAAGAGAAAGCTGCATCTGGGAGGGAGCTCCATGGGGCCAGGTAACTGTCAGTGAATTTGGCTGAATCAGATGTATCTGCACTTTTGCTGTTGGCACAAAAAGCCATACACATGTTCAAAGCTTTTCAAGGGTAAAGTTAGTATGAGAGAGTATTTAATGTACTAGTTTCTGCTTTGTATTCCTAGAGTCCACAAAGTTAATGCTTAGAATTCAGGGGGTCTGCAAATGAACAGAAAAAAAAATACACCTTTATTTTCACCTCCTTCCAATGGAAAGTTATCAATTTCTTCTATTATGAGTGTGGGCAACAAACACAGGACTATTAGAATTCACTGGCTTCACTAGGCTTCCAAAAGTGTCCACAGCCTAAAATAACTCGAATACTTGAATACCCTTGTTCGTTACTGTTATTCAAGCTTTTGATACAGGTAGGGTATACACAAACACACACACACACACACATATTTATTTATTAAAGATATCCATTTTTGTGCAAATCCAAATTTTAATTGAAGTCAACATGGATGGTGAGTTTGACAAACATCCTGAACAGTAAGTAGGTTGTAGATACCATAGGTTCTAGTAGGAAAGAAAATATTTAATAAGTGCTGGACTACCCTGCACTTAGGCCTGAGTGCTACAGGAGTTGATTAAGTTCTCTGTTGAAGGATGCTTAGAGAAACAGCTGGGCGAGAGGTCACAGGGAAGAACACACACACATTTGGGATTTTGGTTTTGGTTTTTGTTATTTTCCCAGCCCATTGTGGGTTCACCAACTACACCACTCAATAGACACATTGGGGAGCCTTGAAACCACTCACTGAGACAAACCTGACTAGACTTGGAGGAAAGGAAAACAGGGCAGATCAGAGAGGAAGTGCCTATAGACAGAGGATGAGAGTGGGACAATACCCGAAAGTGAGTGTGGGAGAGGGTGAAGCCAGGAAAAAAGACAAATCCTGAACTTCTAGGCTCAATATTGTTGTGAAAACCCTTGGTTTCCAGAGCAGAAGGGATTCAGCTGTCAAATGCTCTCCTTCAACTTTTTTTTTTTTTTTTTTTAATGCTAACTTTGCATCTATTTGGTAGAGTTGCTTAAGCTCTTCCGGCTGGAGGAGCAGAAAGACCTGCACTTGTCAAAGCCTAGGAAAATTGTTGTGGAAGTTAATCCCTCGCTAAAATGCCCCATGAGAGGGAACAATGCATTAGACGAAGAAAGTCTCAAAGAACCTGCCAACCATTATAAATAAGTTAATTATTTTTAAAATTTAAAGGAAAAAAAAAAAAGCTTATTTACTGACCAGGAAGTGTATTAGATTAGTCTTTGCTTCTGGGGATAGATGGGGCAGCTCAATCAACCTTGAGTCAGAGTTCCTCGTAATCTGTCCAAACTTCTCACCTGTGCTAGGGGTACAGGTCTTTTAATCAATCCTTAAAACTTCTCTTAAAAATATAAGCTTTTCTCTGCTTTGGGGGCCCCTTTCTGTGGCTACCAGGGAGGCCCAAGTACTTAGGTTGGCATTTTCGCAAGAGACCAAAGCCGGGGTCCAGGTCAGCGGCCCTAGCCGGTCGGCAAAAGCAAAGAACAACCCCCCACCCCCCACCCTCGCCGCCCCTCTATATACCACAGTCGACTGGGCCAGAACTGAAGGGTCACTCCCTCCCCACGCCACTGGCCACTCCCCACCCAAGACGGTGGAACTCGAAGGCCAGGAGGGCATCGCGAGAGGAGGCCATGGGCCCACAGTTCTTCTCATGGGCAATGTGGCGGTATCCACTCTTCTCAGAGCCTGAAGGCGAGAGAGGCGGGAAGCAGACTCTGGCCGCGGGCAACAAGTGATGGGAGCTGAAAGTGGAAATGATCCCCAAGTCCCCTTTCCCAAAGGCTCCGTCCAGCTGCAGGGTACAGAGCTCTAGACCTCAAATTGACAGAGGGAGACCGGAGGAATGAAGAGCTCTTCCTTCTTGCTGTTCTCTCCTCGCCTTTGTTTCTTTGGCTAGTCTTCCCGTGGGTCGGTGTGATTTGCGGCTGGGAGGATTCTTAGCCCCTTTTCGAAGGGCTGTGTGGTTTCGAGGCCAGCACTTCCAAGGTCGTCACAGCCTCCGGCCCACTCTTGGCTTTGATCAGGGCTGCATTCTTGGGTTTGCGCGACTCTGAGAGCGCCGGACACTCGGCAAAAGGGGTCAGTAGGCTAAGTGAGAAGAAGAGAGTGGGGCGAAGGGAGAGGGGAAGGAGAGAAGAAAGAATATAAGTAGGAAGGCGAAGTGTTGGTCAGAGCTTCCGGAAAAATGAGAGAGAAAGAGAGGGAGGGAGAGAGGGAGAGAATGAATTTCGAAGAAAGTGAGAAAATAAAATTAGGCTCAAGGGCTTCTAGCCTAGGAGTTTCTTCGCTCCCGACCTCCTAGTCTGCAGCCGCGTTTCCACCCCGGATCCCGGCTCTCGAGTCCTCCCAGCTCCTGAGACAAACCGTTGAAACTGTCGCCACGCGCCAGGTGCTGCCCATCAGTCCCGGCAGGGCTGGGTACACTAGGTCTGCCCCGAGGAGATTACGTGCAGCGCTACACCCCCTCCCCAAAGGCGTGGAGAATGAAGGCATAGCCCAGCCCCGCTCACTTCCAAGAGCAGTGAGGCAGAGCAGATCCACCAGGCTTTCGGTAGAGGAGGGGGAGGAGGATCAGGAAGAGAGGAAAGAATCCTGCCCGGGTCAAAGCGCATGAGCAGTAGAAGCAGGCGATGACAGGGGGCGGAGGGGGGGGCGGGGGGAGACGAGGAGCGGGATAACGGAGCGAGAGCAATTTGTGTGTGTGTGTGTGTATGTGTGTGTGTCCGCGTGTGGCGAGACCTATCATCGCCGACGTCGGGCAAGGCGGCGGGCCAATGGGCGACCTAGGCGATTGTTCCTCTCCCCGGGCCCCGGCCACAGCCCGGAATTTCTATTCACTTCCTTACGTACCCCGCTGCTGCCTCTGTAGTGTAGGGGATTCGAGTAGGTTTTAAAGACCGAGAAAAAGGGAGGGGAAAAAAGTCACACACACACACACACACACACACGCACGCACGCGCGCGCGCGCGCGCGCACACACACACACACACACACACACACACAAACACTGTATACAGACACACACACACACACACACACACACACACACACACACAAACTTTGCAGAAGTTTTTTTGTGGTTGTTCTTTCCCCTCCACTCTGTCAGGTGACCTGGCCTGAGCAGCCCAACCTAGGGAGCTCCGGGGAGTCTGAGCCCTGAGGCAGCAGGCCGCCGCTTCTCTCCTAGCTGGGCGCTGAAGTCGTATATATGGCCCGGGCGCTTCAGCACCACCACCACCACGTACAACACCATCACTTCCCTCAACCCCACGTCCCCGCAGGGTGGCGGGACCCCGAGAACTCCGGGGAATTGACCGCTGAAGAGCGCTTGGGGCGCAGGTCGGACTCCTCTGGAGCAGAGCCCAGGAGCCCCCATCAACTCACAGACTCAGCACTGCGCGCCCCACTGCCCCTTTCACTTACCGCGCCGCCACCATTACACTCCGGCTCATGGAGCGACAGTGGGCTCTACCCAACAGCTGCCCAGCCCCGCCGTGGCGGAGGCGCTTGGCCTAGCGTGGTCCAACCGGTTTGCTGCCGCCGCAGTCTGGCTCCTGGTCCCGGCGCAGACGGCAGAAGCCGCGGTACTGCTGGGCTGGGCCTGCACCCCGGGGCCAAGTAGAACGCTCAGCCCACGCCACTGGTTCTCACGCTCGCTATTTGTTTCGACAACAGGTAGTAGCTCCGGACACCATGGCCCCCAGCTCGCTGCCGCCTCCAGCCCCTCGGTGTTCCCCGGCCTTCACGAGCAGCCTCCCCAGGCCTCCGCCAGCGGCACTTTGAATGGATTTCTGCGTCTGGGGCTACCCGGAGAAATGTACGCGCGGCCTGAACCCTTCGCGCCGGGACCGGTGGCCCGCAGCGACGCTCTGGCAGCTGCCGCAGCCCTGCACAGCTACGGGGGCATGAACCTGACCATGAACCTCGCCGCGCCCCATGGTCCTGGCGCCTTCTTCCGCTACATGCGCCAGCCCATCAAACAGGAACTCATCTGCAAATGGCTGGCGGCAGACGTCCCCGCGGCCCCGTGTCTCTGCTCCAAAACTTTCAGCACCATGCACGAGCTGGTCACGCACGTCACCGTGGAGCACGTCGGCGGCCCGGAGCAGGCCAACCACATCTGCTTCTGGGAGGAGTGTCCGCGCCAGGGCAAGCCTTTTAAAGCCAAATATAAACTTGTAAATCACATCCGCGTGCATACGGGCGAGAAGCCCTTCCCCTGTCCTTTCCCGGGTTGTGGGAAGGTCTTTGCTAGATCAGAAAATCTCAAAATACACAAAAGAACTCACACAGGTCAGTATTCCGCACTATCCCATCCAGATCCTTTGGGGAAGCAGGCGGCCTTTCCCGGGCCCTCGGGCTGGATTTCCTCAAGTTCCAACTGGGGAGATGGGGGATATTTTGCTATTTCCATGAGCCAAATCCATAAAATATTAATTATTCCCTTCTGTTAGAATCACAGGAGTTTCCCGAGGCTGTGTGTGGGGAGGATAGTATGGGAGTTTATGCTCTGGGAGACAAGGTCGTAAACGTGCTTGGGTCTCTGTGTGTGCAAATGTATGCTCCCTGCTCATCGAGTTTGATTTTAAATTGTTTAAAATAGCACTGTTTCCCAAAGTTGTAAAAGCAGGAACAATTTAATATCCCTCAGTTTCTTCCACCGGTCAGCCTGACAACCTGCCACCTGAACTGAGGGGCCATCAAGCCCTTGGTGCCTTCTTTAGGATTTGGGGACCATGGCCTAACTTTAGCTCAGTTTTGGAGCTTTGGTGATTTGAAACCTTTGAAAAATCCTTTTGCTTTAGCAGAGATCCAAGGAGACTCATTCACCTTAAATGTCATTTACCGAGCTGTTAAGTGAAATGGGGACATGTGTCAACCACATCTGTTAGTTCTAGTTAACAGAAAGAAAAGAAGCGGGGCACAAGAGCCTACCAAGTTGAACTTCTCTGGCCGGAAGCATCTCTAATTAAGGCAATTGCAAGGAGAAAGTTATCCCTCTTCCCAGAACAGCCTGTGAAGTTATATTAATTAGTTTAGCAGCCGATGTTCGTACTTTACTTAAGCTAGGGTTTTTCCCCCTTCACAAGTTTCACGAGTCAATATATTCCGTCCCTTATTTTTTGGTGTTCTTTTTTTTTTTTTCCTCGGGAGAGCAGGGGATGAAGTAGTTCCAGCTTTGTGCTCCTCTTCTCCTACTTCTTGGAGCTCTGCCTTACCTCTATTATTGGTGGAAACACTGGCAATGATTAGAGTCAAAGAATTTCCTCAGGCTAGCATTGCCAGAGAAAGAAGTTTGCTAAATCCTGCTTTCTCCCTCAAATACTGCAAACTTGGGAAAGGTGCATGGCCAAGACAGTGGTACACGCGGAAGACAGACCAAAGTCCACTTTTAGTCTCCTACTTTATTTCCAGAGCATGTCTGGAAATGTATGTGGTTTTCTCGAGCTGTTTCCAGGTTCCCCTGCCCCCACTGCGATCATTTGTTCCCCGCCCCCCTCCGCGTTTTATCCCAGGGGAGGCGAAAAGAGGTGAGGTACTGATCATCGCCCACAGGCCAGCTTCTCCATAAACTGGCAGCAGGCACCACGAAGGTAGATGTGCAGTCCTGAGCCAGAGAAGGAACTCATTTTTAATGACAGAGGGGTTTTAAACAAACAAACTTTTACTGCTCTTTGCCGGCCTACTGTTTGAAGTTCATGAAGCAGAAAATGGTTAAATTCTTAGTGCAGTCATCGACCTACAGCAGAGAAGCAAGTTCAGTGAGCCCGTGCAGGCTCAGGTTTGCATCTATTCAGGACAGAATTCTAAGTGCGTCTTCTCCACTGGCAGTCCTGATTCATTATCGCTGGAGTTAAAAAAAAAGAAAAAGAAAAAATCTAGAGCTTCGTCTGCTCCAGCGTTTCCCCCAACCGCCCCTCCTAAATAATGAAAAGGGGGGGGGCAACAAAATGTTTCTCAAATGCCAATAGACCTCACTACAAATTATTCATGAAGACAGTTCTCGATTCAACAGGAAAATAATTGCCTTTTCAAATATTAATGGCGTTTCATTTCCTCCAGTCGCGGAAGCAGCGAATAAGAGCTGATTTCTCAAAAGTTAAAATTTCCCGGGATCCGAATCCCGGGCCTGGCTTAGGAGGCAGCTACCCCAAGCCTACAACGAAAGGTTTCACTTTGTGGCGTCACAGCAATCCCGGAACAATGGTGCCGCTGCAAGGGTGACAGTAGCCAGCCAGACACGCTCTGGCCAGTCCCCGCTGTCTGGCGCCCTTCCCGTGACCACTGGGTTTGCCCCACCTTCCCAGGCAGTCAGTTGAGAGAGGCAGGACTGGGGATCCGAGGAAGAAAAGAGGACCACGCCCGGGCAGAGACATTCGGACCGCTACAAGTGCGAGAAAATGGCGCTAGCGAACTGCCCCGCCGCTGCGGAACTTTGTCACGCGAGTCTGGCGCAGGGCGGGGGAGAGGGCCTCCCTCGGCTGCTGAGCCTCTGAGGGGAGCTCTGGGCCTTTCACGACTCAACCCCAGGCCCAGGCTGCTCCGGGCGGGCTGGGTCCCTCGACCAGCCCTGCCTTTCCACATCCACCCACCCAGGACGTTGAGCCTACACCTGGTGGCAGAGTACGAGTCGGACTCAATATGTTGGGGTGGGGGGCGGCAGTGTTATGCGAGGAGACCAGGACGTCTAGCTTCCTACAGCTGGTGCTAGGCCTCCAGGGCACGGCCTCATTTGGCCTCCCATGGGCCTTGGAACTTCCAGGCCGCTCGCATCACCATTCAGTGCCCTGTTTTTCCTTGTTTTTCGTCTCTATTCCTCGTCTGGGACGAAATCATTGTTTCTGTTTTACATGCGTGTCCAACGAAGCACTCACAAGATGGGAAAAGTGTGTATGGGAGGGAATATTTGGTGGGGGGCAGTCAATCTCAAATTCCATTCCTCCTCTGTTTCCTCAGCAAATCTTGTTTTCTTTTGCAGACCCTGAATTGCATGGTTCTTGTAAGTGATTTTAGAAAGAAAAGAAGGAAGGAAAGGAGGAAGAAAAGTTTTAGTTTTGTAGATGCTAACAGGGATTAGAGGGACGAAAACGAGGGGCAAGTAGGGACACAATTCTGCATTTCATTTCATTTCATTTCATTTCATTTCATTTAATAAAAACAGCACCAATATCCCAAGAAAGGGCATATTCCAGCACCGTTCAGTGTTCCACTATACTTGCAATGGTCCTGCAGAGGGGAGGAGGCAGTGGCCAGGCGGGGAGTGAGCCATGGGCTCATAACCCTCTGCTGCGCGGAGGCGAAGGCTGTGCACAAAC